TGTGTGTGTGTGTGTTTCTTCAAATGTGTGTGCGTGAAACACCTCCTGGGCATTGATCAGGCCAGTGGGATGGCCTGCTTTTCCATAATGGTTCCTGGGCTGAATGAGTCTTTGGCATTCGGCGCCTACAGCTGGCAAACCAAGGTTGATTGGCAGAGATGTTCAGAGGGCTGTGGACAATTCTTGCGAGCTATATCTTCAATTGCTGCGCTACGCTTCTGCGTTTCTGTCAACTGCCATCCATTGGGCGACGCAAAATGTTGGATCGATTCCGAACTGAAGGGGTGCTAGGAGAGAATCCTGCCCATGTACTCTCGGAATCATCATGGATACGTGGAGTGGAGTTCACCCCCCTGTTTAGATCTGTTTAGTCATCCAAGTCTTCGGCGCCATGCCATCCACCGCTAGCTGCTAGTTGAGCGTAACCATTTTTTCAGCAGAACTCCTCGGCCCTACCTGGCCATCGCTGACCCGGTTCTTTCTAGGGGGCCGAAAGTGGAAGACCTCTGTTCTGCCCCAGGGGAAACCCCCATCAGCGTCATGAGTCAAGCAGAACCTGAACATCTCGTCACAGTGACCAGACACGATCCGACATCCAAACAAGTGGTCAATGAGGCCACAGGGGAAGGCGGAAGAAAGGAATGGACAATAGCAAGACGTGGTAAGAAAAACACCACCCGCTGCTGACAGAAAGAGCCAGACCAGAAAGGCCAGACCTCGTCTTGCATGTGAAACAGTCTGTTTGAAACAGACCTCGTCTCACTCATGTGGAATGAGATCACATGGCCCCTGGAAGAAGGGCGCGCATCCCTGTGACTGCAAATGGGTGAGTAGAACGGTTATTGCCCTGGACATGGGGAACATTCCACCCCAAACGGACGACGGTGTCATCCCGTTCGGGGTCCAGTTTCATCCATCTTCTGCCATCGTGTCCCACATCATGCCGTTCGTTTCGGGGCCTGCATGCCGTCGGGCCCACCATATTGAGTCACTCTCTCGAAAATCACCTTGCCGCCAACGGAAGCCAAGTTCGTGTGAGGGAGGTCTTGGGGTGGAAAATGAACCTCACCAAATCATTGGGGTGATGCCCCAGGTGTGAATGAACACCAACCTATGGAGTTCCCTGGGTGTCATTCATTGTCTATCCCTGTGGGTGAAAACATGGACCTTCTCTCCTCAACTCCTTTGCGATCACAAAGCAGGATTCATGTAACCAGGTAGGCTCTTGATGAATAAACCCCCCATATGTTTTGGTCAGCTGGACCACAGGTTACATAGTCTGGTGTACAGAACAAGCAAATTGAACCGGTCCTGAGGACAAGGGTCAGTTTGTAACAAAGGACTCGAACTCTGTGCGTGCGAGTCCCATATGAAGAGGTTGTTCAATTCAGGCGTCTAGGCCCAAAGCCTTTCGCCTTTGGGCACACCGGGTTCCCGCGGCTGGGCTGCTCCCTTCGCAGGGAGGGTCCAGCGTCCACAGAGGTCTCAGGACCGACCCGCCTGAGACCTTGGTGGCAACTTTTGCCTCGGCGCGCCATGGTTGTGGGATTGGGGCGCTGGCATGTGGCTGTCGAGCGGATGATCGACGAGCCATGGAGAGGGAGAATCAAGAGCTTCTTCCAGGATCGCCGTGCAACGGCTCACCTGCTCAGGCCTGGTGGGAAGGTGATCATCTCTGGAATGGTGGCCCTTGCGACCGAAGCTGTTCTCGAAGTCGAACCGTTTGAATTCAACCCAGGCCGAGGGTTTGTTGTGCCTTCGCCGAAGGGTTCGAAGATCAGGATTGCTGTACCGGAGCTGGGACGAAGAGCTGTTTTTCCTTCTGTGGGCGACCACATTACCTGCGTTGGAAGCCAGATTGTCGACAATCAGTGGGAGACTATCTCCTTGGGGGCTGACACGGTCATTGTGTTCCGGCCTCAATTCAAGCATACGGAACCGCTGAATGTCCTGCACCTTTTTGCTGGTGCTTATGGTGGTTGGACCCGTGCTGCTCATTGGTTGGCTGATGCTGTACCTGCCCTTCCAATCGCTCACGAGCTACATGTTGATCATGATGAACGCATCATGCAGGTGTGGAGCCGACAACATGGTGTGCCACATAGCACCGGGAGGACACCTTCCACGCTTGCCAACACGAACCTGCAGACTGGTATTTGCACTGGAGTTGATGATGCTTCCTTGCTCAATGCATGGCCACATCGCTACAATAGTGTTACAAGTGCCTCCCCTCCTTGTATCTCCTGGTCGCAAGGAGGACGACAGCAAGGACTCAACTGTAGCAGTGGCTACGCAATGATCGAAATGATCATGCTGGCCGAGATTCAGCAACCGCTTCTTCTTTTCTTGGAAGGAGCGGATTCAACTGTTTATCATGAGCACTTCCCCATTTTGGAAGCTTTGTTGAATCTTATAGGCCACCATAAAGTTTGGCAGCAGGTTGTGCACCAGCATCAGCTTTCGCACAACCACAGGTCTCGGTGGCTTGCAGTCTGGGCTCGTCTTGACTTGGGCCTCCAACCTCATGAGATGGTTTTTTGAGCTTCGTGCACCACCCTTGGTTCCATGGAATGACGCCCTCAACACCTTTTGGGTGCCAGGATCCTTCAGTGACCAGCTCAGGTTGGATTCCGAAGCTTTGGGGATGTATGGTAACCCTGGGTTGCTGCCACCAGCAAAGAGAGTGAAAACCATGGCTTCTACCACTGAGGTACTACATTCGAGGGTTGCCGATGTCAGCCAACCACTGCCGACCCTCTGCTCCTCGTACACTCGTCAGCACCGGCTTCAGGTCGACCATGTCATGAGCAAAGGCATCTTTGCTGCACTGGAGCTAAAGGAGGGTGTTTACACCTTCATGTGCCCCACTCGGTTTGTGCCTCTTTTCGGTACTACAGGGACAATCACTCTGCCGAGTGATGCTTCGTTTGCCTTCCATATACTAGGTAATGCTATTTCGCAATCTCAGGCAACTCTTTGCTTGGCGGTTGGATTTGCTGCCCTGTTCGGCCTCGATGTCTCTCCGACCATGCTCGTCAGACAAGCATGGAATGACAGGCTCACCAGTCAGAATGCATTGGTCCAGGTCTTTGAAGACTGGTTAACGATCACACGAGTTCAGGACATTGCTGTGTCTATGCCTTGTCGCTCCAATTCGGTGCCTTGTGAGGGACATGGAGTTCAGCTTGTTCTTGTGCATGTGCCCACCCACCATACGTGGAATATTCGAGTGCCGAAAGCAGCTACTCTCATCACGGTGTTCATCCTTGCCATGTTCACCAAAGGGATATGCCCTGATGCATTGCAGTTTCGTACCTTGGAAGGCCAGACCCTTCAGGACATTCCGATCCTGGAGGCACTCGCTCTGACGTCGCAAGTTGAATGCCTCTTGTGGACTTTTCCGCTTCTCTGGATTCGACCTACTGGTCCAGTGGATGCAAATCTGGGGCGTGCTGACCCTCCTGCTGACATTTCTCCCACTGTGCCCTTTTCTCCTTGTGCCGAGGAGCCATTGACTCTTGTCTTGGAGACTGTACCACCGCAAGTCCCTTCACAGGAACTCTTCCAGGAGATGCTTCATTTCTTGGACTTCAATGCCAAGTGGAAAGACAACGAAAGTTCCAACAAGCAACTGGTTTCCCTTCTCTGGGAGAATACTCTAGGAGTTCTCACGCTCAAACTTGATGCTACAGTTCCAGCAGCTGACCTTCAAGAGCAGTTGGCCACACACTTTGGCAGCAACCAGTATGCCATCTACCAGAGCCCATTTGCCGTTCCCAAGATTGCCCCAGGACCTCTCTTCACAGTGAGGTCACGCAATCACAGCAATGATGCTCTTGTCGTATTCCAGAAGCTGCAGACCGAAGTGTGGGTGCGAGCCCACATCGTGCCCAAGACACTTCACAAAACCACACTGGTCACCACACTCCAGGGAGCATTCCGCATTGCTTACCACAACAATCAAGCTTGCTCGACTGAACAACTTCACCTTGCAAATGGAGATTGGCTGTTGATTGAACCAGTGCCAACGACTGTTGTGGCAGGTGGACACCACAGATGGACTCGCAGCCCTGAGACTCTTCCACGAGGAGCCAACTTCACTGCTCGTGTTTTCTTTAGCATCAACACCCATGGCTGGGCAGCGTCCGATGAAATTCATGCTGCCATGATGTGGTTGCATACTCGTTTCCCGGAAACGA